ATACTGAAAGCTGGACCCTAAGATAATTGTCATGATATCAAGCACTAGAACTCAATAGATGTAACCTACAGTCACAGACCATTAACTTTTTTTTTGTTTTGTTTTTGTTTTGGTTTTTCTCCGGTACCGGGAACCGAACTCACGACCTTGCGCTTGCCAGGCAGGCGCTTTGCCGCTGAGCTAAATTCCCAGCCCCTAGACCATTAACTTTTATGCAACGCTTTATTGAAATTAGTTGAATGGATATAAACAAAGTCAGGAAAATTTCACCTGTATAATTATTTCACCTGAGAGAGAAAAATTTTTATTTTATTTTACTTTTTTTTTTTCCCCTGTAGTGGGGATTGAACTCATGACCTTGTGCTTGCTGGGCAGGCGCTGTGCCACTGAGCTAAATCCCCAGCCCCTATTTTACTTTATTTTATTTGCGCTCTACAAGGGCTATTTTACTCACCATTTTGAAGTTATAGGAGCATATAAATTCTCATCAACAGAAGTCATTAACACATGATGGTTTACAGCATCTAAATACTTCTGAATGTGAATCTGTTACAGAAAAGTCAAAGCTTAGCCCATATGGTAGACTACAGATACTCGGTTAATTCATTTTATTAGGTTAACACTCCAAATCCTGTAATTAAGCCAAAAAACGCAACATGCTATGTGTTATTACACACCTAAGTATCATTAGGCATTAGAAGGCCAATTTATTTCAGCTCTCCCCAAAACCATAATAAACAACTGAGACTCAAAGCTTGAGGGACCTGTAGTGTTCTTTGCAAATGATTTTTTCTTTTTTTTGAGACAGGGTCTCGCTATGCAGCTCAGGCTGGCCTTGAGCTCCCTTTGTAGCCCAGGCTGGTCTCGAATTTGCAACGATCCTCCTGCCTCATCCTCCTGAGTGCTGGGATTATAGGTGTGTGCCACCACACCCGGCTTGCAAATGAAACTCTGCACAATAGTCAGCAAATTGCTCAGCCAGGTACATCCACGAGGCAATACAGACAAGGAATAAAGTCTTTCTCTTACAGGCAGTTGGAACAAGCAACTGAGGAAAGCACTTCTCCTTAGATAACAGATTATTCAAAGTAGCCAACCCAAAGACTCCAGCTGGGTCTGGCCCTCTCACCATCAGGTAATACAGGACAATGATGAGCCAGTCCGGTGAAGGAAAAGGAAACACCGCATTTCTCACAGCCTTGGGAGCTGGCGGTGAAGCTGGTTACACAGGAGAGTGAAGGTCTAAGGCACTAAAAATCACAGGTCTAGAAGATGAACCTTATTTGGAAGACGGGCCCCTATTAGCTAATACATGCTAGTTTCATAAATGAATAGTATCCTGGCCTGAAGACTGGATTCTCCTCTCCTCTTCGTACCGTTTATAAAGTGACGTCTCTAACTACTCTGTCTCAAAACTGGTCCATTTCTTTAGTTTTACCCACTTGATCATAATATTACAAAAATGAAGAGCTCCAAATACGCTATTGGGGAAAAGTCATCTCTTATATTGTAGAATCCTAGTAAATCCCAGAAAATCTACACTGTATTGGCAGGCATCCTTTTTGGTCAGGCAAACAAGGGTCTGATCAAAAAAATACGGCGTGTGTTTATATTTTAAAATTTATTACAAAGACACATTGCTGTTAAGGTTCCCTCGCTTTGAACAGGCTTGTTTCTTTGCCACGTTCTGAAGCAGCTCTGCAAGTCCTCTTTTGCGTCTTTATAAGGTAAGGTAAAAAATACAGTGAATGCTCCTGCTGAAGATCATCCCACAGCAAGGCAGGCCCATAAAAAGATTACAGTGTGTCCGCATCCGCCTAACTTACTGGGTATTACTCACTTCACTTGGCACTGTGCAACTTTTAAGACAAAATGGCCCCAAAAGCTAAATGTTTTGAATCGACTCAGGACATAAAGGCAGCTGTGACAGTGCAGCTAAAGACGCTCACCAAAGAGGTCTTCCAGAAGCTTCCGCAAGCAGCAAGAATGAAGAGATAGGTGTGTCTGAAGCAAGAAGGACTAATGCCAACGTGTCTTTTGCTGTAATATATTTTTAAAGGTTTAAACATTCACCGTATCCTTTGCTCACACCGCCCATTGCTGGATTAATAGTGATTATTTTTCAGGCTCAAGTTATTTTATCAGACCGATTTCAGAATTTGCAGCTGCACAAGCTTTTTTTATTTCATCTCCTTAAATTCTCTGGGGACTATAACATGATGTCAATCAATCAGTAGGAATCACGGTCATTTAGAAAACTAAGAAAACATGGATAGGAACGGCCACCCCAAATCTCTCTGTGTCACAGAATTATACAGGGTCCTCTGACAACCTCAAATGTTTTGCTCTAGAGGCTTTCTTGCCTCCTTCCAGGGTTTATTTAATATCTGAAGCCTACTTACTTTTAACCCCTTTTCCGTCCTGCGGATTGCTGTTTCAAGATTCTGAATATCGAGAGTCCTTCCTTCTCCTTCACATGGGACTTTCACTAATTTCTCCTTTAACTCATGAAGGTCTTCTTGGACCTGTGCAAAAATACGAAAGATTGAAAGAATACATGGTCTGCTTCTAACAATTATTTATCTTACAGGTCTGCAGTGGGCTTGAAATGTGACAATATACGTTGGCTTTTACGATATTCATGGAAAAAGACCACTCCTTTTATTTATTTATTTATTGTCTTTTTGAGGCAGGGTCTCCCTATTCAGTTCACGCTGGCCTTGAGCTCACTTTGTTGCTCAGGCTGGCCTTGAACTTGCAACGATCCTCCTGCCTCAGCCTCCCGAGTGCTGGGATTACAGGCGTGTGCCACCATGCCCGGCAACCACTCCTTTTATTCGAGGACATCCTTTACTCAGAACATGCCAGCATTCCCTCTCAGATTGTGAAGGGCAAAGCTTTCCTACAATTTCCGTTTTTCCTTCTCCTGTTAGGAATAGATGTAGAGCTTTAACCCAAATGGCTTTTGCTCTCTCAGGTGGTAAAGCAGTTGAGCCAGAGATGTTGTTCATGCCAGACTCCAATTTCTCCTAATTGGTTAAAGTAAGAAAATAGGAAGCTTCCAGCAAAGACGGCGGAAGCAGTACCTTTCAAAAGAGTATGGTAAACTGTGTTGGCAGGGCCTGTTGGTTTCCTGTCTTAGCTGGATCTTCTTTACTCACTCTCTGAAAAAGCAGGTCTGTAGGTGGTGTGGCTTTGGTGTTGCTTTATGCAGTGGAAAATGAAAATGACCCATGAAAAAAAAAAAAAAAACAACATATATTATCCGCCCCCCCCACCTGTATTTTTCTTAGAAATGACAAACATCTCTCCAGCATCAGGCATCCTCAGAATCAAACGGGCACCGTGAAATTAGGAAGCACAAGATTCTCTGTCTCCATATTAGAAACCGAACTTCGGATAAATACAGATGGCACCAATTATTGCATGGGCTGCTGCCCCAGGAGAAGCACTTTGTGATGCAAATTTATGAGCCTAACACCTGTTTCAGCGACAGTCACACCAATAACAATCTGCAGCCTGGGTTGCTGAAGGCGTTTTGAAATGGTTACCTCTTTTCTGTTGAGATAACTGGACTCACCTTCACCCAGCCTACCTCGCAGGTTACTCGGGAACATTCCCCACAGAGCCAAGCACTGTATTCAAAATATCAGGCTTTGCATCTTCTCAGGGATGGGCACTGCCATCTGGCAGACAGATCTAATCATTTGTGCTCTGCACAAATTGTCACGTGAAGCCCTCAAGCCCCACAGATTGGTGTCCGAAAGCGCCTCCTGCTTGCTTGTGGCACTAAGAGCAAAGACGCACCACTTTCCATTGTTTTGTCTAAATGGCTACTGCAAGCCAACACAGCAATTGTTTGAAAACATTTGGAGATGCAGAGGAGCAGCTCCAGGGCGACACCCTTTTTAGGCACCCATGTGTGGATTTCCCCTCCTGGTGTACTGACCTTCTCCCTTCTAGCATCTGTAGCGCCATGTAGCTCTCCGGAATTCTGTCTTTCAGTGCCCGGAGGAAATGAAACTGAACTAGATCACTCACCAGGGTACTCAGGGTTTGATTGGTCAGTTGGTTGGTTGTTTGGTTGATTTTTCAGCTACCTGGCCTGGACGACAATACTTCTTCACCAACTCTGAGATAATATGTTAACAGGCCTGGTACACAGCGAGAACTCAATAAAAGGCAGCTGAACATAATTCCTAGCTCCAACATTTACTAATCACATGATTCCCCATCTATATTACCCTTAATCTGGCAAGGGAAAAAATTAATTATTCTATTTCTTAGAATTGCTGTATGCAAAGGAGATGACATGTACGGAAATGATTCAGCACAGGCTTCAGAGCCAGACACATATGAACTAGCTCCTCCTTTTTTTTTTTTGTTAACTAAACTGAAGTTGGAAAAGTTACTTAGCCTCTTAGAGGCTTAGTGTTCTCATCTGTAAAATGGGATAACACCTACTTCAGAATAGTGCCAAAATAAAATAAGAGAAAGTATGTAAAGTGCTAGGCACACAGGATGGCACTGAAGAAATGTTCTCTCCTGAATTGAAAAATCTAGTGACACACACTGCACAGAACTGATTCTCAGTAAATGTTCACTGAATGGAATTGCTCCCTTAATCTTTCTCATAAGTTTATTACTTTTCTTGCCAGATATTGTCTCCCCCTTAATACCCACCCATCTGTTTGCATAATTGCAATAGAGACAAGTACTATAGGAAATGTTACATCAGACTTGGGTAGGAAAAGAAATTAAGTTCTACATCTCTATTCTTTCAGCATATAGGTCCTATGCGCCATATTGAAATTTTATATGTCACCTATTAGCTCTGTGCCCATTAAATATATTGTTTTCCATAAATCTTTTACTTGGAGGAAGATTTTTTATTTTGATACTTTGGAGATAGAGCTACTTAATAAGAAGCCCTTGAAAGATTTAATGCAGCAAAGATTTGCTCTAGATTTATTTGTTTCTTTATTTACGTGTTGTCTTTTTGAGACAGGGTCTCTCTATGCCGTTCAGGCTGGCCTTAAACTCACTTTGTAGCCCAGGCTAGTCTCTTAACTCTCAGCAATCCTCCTGCCTCAGCCTCCCGAGTGCTGGTATTACAGGCATGTGCCACCTAGCCTGGCCTTGCTCTAAATTTTAAAAGGCCACGAAAACAGATTCCATATAGTAAGCAACATAAAATTTCTTTTTATTCATCTCTGCTAAAGTTTGGCTGTATCTTTCTATTGCTTCAAGTTATCCTTAATTCCATTTTTTTGTTTTTGATTTGCTTTTTGTTTTTTGAGACAGGGCCATGCTATGTAGCCCAGGCTAGCCTCAAACTTGGTAGCAATCTTCCTGTCTCAGCTTCCCGAGTGCTGGGATTACAGTTGTGTGCCACCACGCCCAGTTTCCATTCATGTTTATATTATACGCTCCTTGGACATCATTCAGATGGCTCTAAAGTGAGACTGAAAATATCAAACCACCAATTTACCTCCCATATTTCCAAGGGTGATGTTAGCACACACTGCTGGAGTTTTAAAATATAATTTCCAAAACTAATTTAAAAGCTACAGAACAGGCAGCCTTAGTTGCACAAATACATGTTTAATAGTTGGGTCAGACAAGCATTAAATGACATTACCTTATCTTAATGAAGCATAGAAACAAAGCCTACTAATTAAAAAAAATCATGTCGCCAATATGATAAAACCTGTTCAAGGCTCAACACACACTGGATATGCTCCCTGAGCAAGTTAGTTTATCCCTTTATGCTTTACTTTCTTCAGTAAACTGGGGCTAAAAATAATACCAGGACTTACTGGTATTATTATCATTATTGTTATCACTGCCCAGGTTGTTACCAGGACTTACTGAGCGAATCCAAAGCTCTCGGCACCGTGTCTGCCTCTCCTATTCTGTGTATATGGCCCTACCCACAATGCTCATCTTGGCTTAGTTTCCTATTCATAACGTGAAGATAATAATAACAGTATTTGCTGGATAGCCTTGTTACGAGGTGAAGTGAGCTGGGATATATACAGCTCTTAGGACGTATATGACTTCTGGTATATACTATGATAGCTTTGATTATCTGATTTTTCTTTGAAATTTTCTTACAGTTTATATTTTACAATCCAAGCTAGCAACTAACTCTCACTTTCGAGTGCAGCAGGATTAGGTGAAGGGTTTACAGACACAGATTTCGGGGCTGGTGTGCAGAGTTTCTGATTCAGTACTCTGGAGCGGGTCCCGTGAATCTGAGTTTTTCATCTGTTTCCTGTTGATGCTGATGACCTCGTCCTTGGACCACATTTTGAGAACTCCTGGTCTAAAGGGCAGCTCGATGTATCTGAGACACAGGCCTAATGTATTACAGTGAAGTACCCTTGCAGTCTTCTTTTACAGTAAAGGGAATTCATGTAGCTTTGGGGAAACTGGGTCAGTTTAGAGTAGGAAAAAATGGACATAATCCAAACTATGCATTCTATAGGAAAGGAAACGGAGGTAAAGTGATTAGCCGTAGGTCAGAGCCACAGTTAGACTCCGGTATTCTGACTCCTGACCATGTACACTTTCCTCTAGGTATGTGGGTAGCTGGTTTGAAAGAAATAATCACTGCCCCAAGCAGATGTGGCATGGGTCTGAGTCGTGCTCGCATGCCCACAAACAACAGGGCTCGTGGGAAATAAGGACGGTCTTCCACATTTCCTCATTGTACATATTCCAGACAGAGAGAATACTACACTACACAGAGATCAGCTTCAGTATCAGGTCAACATGTAGGTTTCCTTCCTCACACCATCGTCCACTAGTGTGTCAGGAGTGATCCTCTTGCCGGGAGTGGTGGCACATGCCTGTAATCCTAGCACTCGGGAGGCTGAGGCAAGAGGATGATTGTGAGTTCGAGACCAGCCTGGGCTACACAGTGAGCTCAAAGCCAGCCTGAACTGCATAGCGAGACCCTGTCTCAAAAAGACACACACACACACAAATAAAGAGTGAGTGACCCTCTTAAAGAAGAGGTACACTGATTGACATGTATATGACTATTCTTAGGTCTTCTGTTCTGTTTTTACAATTCAGTGTTAACATATCTTTTTTTTTTTTCCGGTACCGGGAATTGAACTCACGACCTTGCACTTGCCAGGCAGGTGCTCTGCCGCTGAGCTAAACTCCTAGCTCCTACATATCTTTTACTGTATGGGCATACCTCAATTTGACCAGTTTTCTCTGAATTCCATTCTGAAGTGAAAAGGCTTCTGGCTTTTAATACTTTGTTCTCTACTATCCCAAACCACAAGGGAATGACCCTTGGAAATAGAACTATCTCAAAGGCAAGTATGAAATAGGGCATGGGAATTCTCCCCCGATTCTGGTCTCTTTTTAAGAGATGTTCCAGTTCTAGTGAAATAAAGAAAAACAGAGAAAACTGTGATGGTCCCTGCGTTCAGTACGAGGTATACTGAGGGAAGAACTAGCTATTTTAGGGAGGAGTCTCCCCTCATGTTCCGGTTTTTAGGGTCTCTAAAGAGGGGGTGTGCATAGTAAAACACCAACCTCACCAAAGAAAGGTCTGGTCTCTGCCCTTGCCACTGAGAGATGACTTCTAGGCCCTGGAAGGCCTTCCCTGACAGCAGTGTCTTGAGTGCTTTGGCCACCAGTCTTACACGACTTACAACGTGCATTTTGAGCTGTCCTGTATCCTTTGCAAGCTCTGGAGGAAACAGGAGACGAAAGGCAGCAGTCTGGTCTCCAGGAGGGGTGCAGGCTAAGTCAGCCACAAGGGAGGGCTGTGTGAGACTGAACTCTAATCAAAACTCTGGACACCAAGCATTCTGGTAAGCTGCTCTGACTGGCAATATTTTGTACCTAGCGCGCTGGGAGAAGGATGCCAGTGGCTCCACAGGGATGACCAGAAGCTCCATGTGTCTCTGGGACACTGCCCTTTATATCTCTTCCCTTGACTGATTTTAATTGCTGACTTTCCACTACAGTCAATCCCTTACTGTAAGCCCTGCACTTTCCCTCGATTTATCAAATGTGAAGGTGGTCACAGGGCTCCCAGACCTGCAACCCGCGTCACAGTGAAACCATTCTGTAGGGATGTGGACAGCTCTGACTTTGCAGTTTCCTAAACTCATTGCAGGGCACTGCTGAGAAAAAGGATGATAAAGGTGAAGATTTTAGGTATAGTTCATAATGGGGAGTGTCAGGCTAGACCCTGAATAGCAACCAAGACCACCAGGTCAGTCAGGATTGAAGCAAACAGAGGTATCTTTATTTCAGGCTGGGTGCAGCCTGGGCCAAGGGTGAGAAAGCTATTGGCCCTGAACAAAGGAAGGGGGCCTACTTTATAGACTGTTTTAGGTATGGGGTGGAGATTCCACCAAGGAAGGTGGAAAATTTAAGTTTCTCAGGGTGATTGGTGGGTCTGGTGCCTCTGGGGGCGGGGGGAAGTGCTAGAGGACGTTGGCATTTTGCTGATTTACAGTGTGGCATTCTGTAGACTTAGGAGGTTTCCTGTAAGCCTGAGAAGTAGGCCTGGGAGCATCCTTCTTTTTTTTTGTACTGGGAATCGAACTTGGGACCTCATGCTTGCCAGGCAGGTGCTTGTGCCGCTGAGCTATACCCCCAGCCCTGGGCTATCCTGATAAACAGATTTACTTTAGGCTAGGTCAAGCTGAGTGGGGGGCTTTCTGTTTGAACAGACTGGTTGTCTGTCGGAGTCTTTCTCTTCAAGTTAGGTGGGGTACAATATGCGGGACCTAACAGGGAGGCCTATGAAATGGGTGAGCTCAGGTCCTTATATTACAGGAAAGGTGAATGTAGGAAAGTCTCTCCTAGGTGGTAGGTGAGAAATCAAACTTCTGACAGAAATTAAAGTCAAGTCCACTTGATGAATGAGTCTCAGTGGAGACCACACAGTCCTCATTAGAGTGACCTTCAACCCAGTACGTCAAGCCTTAGCCTAAAGGAGCTAAACAGAAGTTAAAAATGATGATATATGTGGAAAAAGCTTAAAGCTACCACATTAAGTGTGAAATGCCTTAACTACTTCAGAAACTAAACTGAGCTTAAAACTGTTACAAACTCAGTTACGCTGGCAAAGTCCAGACGTTCTGGATATTTCCTCCTTCAGATTTGAAAGTCATCTTCTAGCACATTTCTATACTCAAACCGTTAACTTGATTTGCGATCCAAGTTATCTTTTTTGTTTGTTTGTTGTTTTCCGGTACCGGGAATCAAACTCGCGACCTCATGTTTGCCAGGCAGGCGCTGTGCCGCTGAGCTACATCCCCAGCCCAATCCAAGTTATCTTTTAACATATTTTTTCTTTGTGCGTTCCTAAGCAACGGGCATTCATATTTTAAGAAAAGATGGGTGCTAAGAAAAGCATTTCCCGGATTCCAGTATCTTTTTGTTTGTTTGTTTGTTTTTCTCCGGTACCGGGAACCGAACTCATGACCTTGCGCTTGCCAGGCAGGCGCTTTTGCCGCTGAGCTAAATCCCCAGCCCCATTTTCAGTAACTTTTCAATTTTCCTGTCGCTTCCTTGTGTAATCTGATTTGCCTGTCCTCCGCTCCAAGTCGGGGGTTCAAATTTTTCAGAATATTTTCAAACGGTGCCTCGGAGTAAGATGGATTTTTCGGTACTACAAGGTGGGAGGATCGGCTTTACCCGGGGCGCAAAGGCCGTGCTTCTGGAGCACAAGCTGCACGCAGGGCGCACAGTGGGTGTCCTAGGCCCGCGGGAGAGGTCAGGATGGGCATTTGTGGAACCACCCCCGGGCCGCCGGGCTGGTTCCGTAACGAGGGAGGTGGGCAGGGCCAGGGAACGCCCATTTCCCCACCTCGAGTAGGATGGATCCGATAGGATCGCAGTTTTCACTCTCCTGAGCCATGGCTAGGGCCGGAAGGGTCACCCGGCCGAGACGCAGCTTCCAGGGTACTGAATCCTGCGGGAGGGGGGCGCTCGTCCCCAAGGCGACGCCACGCGCGTCCGGCCTGCTCCACGCCGGGAGCGGAAGCGGGGGCGAGGGAGCCGCTCCGAGCTGCGCGCGCGCCCTTCATGGCGCGTCCCCCCCCCGCGCGCGCCGCGACGATGGTACGGCCCAAGGCGGAAGCGGCCCGGACGGCACCGGCTCTCAGGCGCAGCTATGGCCGCTGGCGTCCCGTGCGCGCTGGTCACCAGCTGCTGCTCCACGTTCTCCGCGGACCGGCTGGTCCAACGTGAGTAGCGAGGCGCCGGGACAGGCCTCCAGGACCCCGGAGCCGGGGCCGGCAGCTGTCTCCTCCCGTACCTGGCTCTGGGCCTGAGCCTCGCCGCGGGCCCGGGCTCCTCCCCCACGGGGGCGGTGCCGGTCTCCCGTGGTGTCCGCGAGCTCTTAAGCGCGTGCTCTTCCGCGGCGGGTCCCCGCGGGGACCCCCGAGAGAGCTCCCTGGACTCGCTCGGTTGTGCGTGTGCAAGGTGCTCGCGTTGTTGGTTTTGGGGGTGTTGTCGCTGTCCCTACTGCAGAAGTGCAGTGTGTTTCCTCGAAATTCCTGGTAAGACGTTAGGCAGCCAGGTCCTCTCTCCTTTAGACGTTAACCTCCCTGCCTTCCATCTGTGGCATGGGGTGTCCCCAGCCTTAGTTCTGGGGTGCTGCTGAGCGTATTGCTTTTCATTCTGCATCCTCAGTGCGGCTGTCAAACTAAGCAGCTTTTTTTGATCTTGCACGCTAAGCCTGCACAGTATCGCTGAGATAACACTCCAGCCCCGGGCTAAGTAACTTTTTTTTGTTTTTTTTGGAGACAGGGTCTCACTATGCAGTTGAAACTGGCTTTGAGCTCACTTTGTAGCTTATGTTAGTCTCGAACTCGCAACGATCCTCCTGCCTCAGCCTCACGAGTGCTGGGATTACAGGCGTGCGCCACCGCTCCCGGGTAAATTTTTTTTTTTTTTTTTTTAATTTGGTACTGGGAATCGAACTCAGGACCTCGCACTTGCCAGGTAGGCGCTGTGCCACTCAGCCACATCCCCGGCTCTCTAAGTAATTCTTCAAAGAAACCACCATGGAAAACAGTGCACTAGAGAGCAACTAGGTCATAGGCCAACTCAAACTAAAGAGCTCAGGGAAGTCTTACAATTCGGCTTGTATTAAAGGTATAGCTTTGAATCAGAGCTCTTAGCTGTGTGACTGTAGGCAAGTCATTGAACCTCCGCTTCTCTGTTCTCAATCTGTACAATGCTGGTACTTCTCACTAGATTCTGCTTAACGTAGAGGCAGGCACGTAGTAAGCCTTCCAAGTGATAGGCATTAGTATTGGAGCATGTTTTCTCCCTGGTGCTGTTTCCTGATCCTTAAGCTAGAGCATACAGGTGTTTTGAAGGACAGGTGATGTGTTTGAAAACACTTTGTAAGTGTAAAGCAAGCAATTGTAAGTCTTTGCTACACCTATTCAATAAAGAGATTAGGCAAGCTATCCCTCTGGCACAAATATTCCACTAAATATTCCATGATTTAGTTATTATTTGTGATCGCATAGTGCTCTTCCTCATAGGCTAAAAGTTTAAGTACAGCACTTACTACTTGGTAGCTAATTGCTCTAATCTCGAAGTTTCCTTACCTCTGAGCAGTGTTCTTCCTGTTCTTCCCCTGTTTCACACCCCCCTCCCTTTCTCCCCTTTTCTATTGCTTCATTGTAAAACAAGTGCATATTCATTAAGAAAATTTAGCATGTGGAGAAAAAATATTAGCTGTCTTATCACCCAAACACAAATACTGTTAACATTTCTGTGCATTTCTTTTCCAGCCTTTTCCCTAATGTATAGGTTTGGTTTTTGCCGCCCCCTCTCCACCCCCAACCTGTACTGGCCACCAAACCCATCCCCCAACCCTTTTAAATTTTGAGACAGGACTGTTTGCTAAGTCACTGAGGTGGGACTTGAATTTGTGATCCTTCTGCCTCAGCCTTCCAAGGGCCAGGATTACAGATGTGTGCCACTGCACCTGGCTCCAGTATATAGTTTTAAAAGAAGAAATAACTGTAATTACATTTCATATTCAATTTTTATCCTGGAGGTTTTTTTTTGTATGTGTGTGCTGGAGATCCAACCCAAGGCCAGTGTGTGCGAGGCAAGTGCCTTGTCCACTGAATTACACCCCCACAGAACCTTAAAGTCATGTTGAGTGAAAAGTACATGAACAATTCCACGGGCTTTTTTGTTTTGTTTTTGCTTTGTTCTTGTTGTCTCTTTGGTCCTGGGGCATAGAAACAAACCCCCAAAACAAAAACAAAACCAAACTCTGGGTCTTGTGCATGCTGGGCAAGTGCTCTGCTACTGAGATTCACAACCCCCCATCTTGTATCCTGATAGTTTTGACAGTATATAAGAATTAGTTTCAGGGTGGGAATATAGCTGGGTGACACAAGTGCTTGCCTGGCAAGTGCGAGGTCCTGAGTTCAATTCCTGGTACCAAAAAAAAAAAAAGACATTAAAAATTAGTTTCCTTTTAAATTAAAAACTAGTGAATATACTAGAATTTGCTCAAGATTCTTGATTTAAATTTCCAAATGACCTATATGCCTCAGGATTCCCATTAGTGATGTTTGGAAGTCCTCTCAAAGACAATTCCTGAAATAGTAAGTATAGCATTCTGATGGCCATGGTGCTCTGTCATATACTTTAAAAATCGGAATTGGCAAATATGGTCTCTGCCTGAAGGAGTTGGCAGATGGTAACATTGGACTTGAAGGAGCAACATTGTATTTGAAGGCGCTAGTCACCTTTGGTTGGCAAATAGTAATATTGTATTGTACATCTATAACATGTATTAACATTATTGAAGGGAAAGTTCCGTGAAATCCATTTTATTTTTGTATGTGAAATGTCTTTTAAATAACTCCAGTTCATACTGAAATGAGATGATCTTTCCTTTGTGATACCATTAATGTTACATTGTGATAAATAAAATTGGAACAGTTAGTGAATAGATTAAGTAAAGGTGGTTTGTCGTTTCTCCCAAGGTTATGAAGAGGGTAGCAGTAGATGGCATTAGAATGAAGTATTTGTTCATCCTTTGCTGTTTTACCATAACTAAAAATTGCATTAGTTTTGGGTCAAGTTTAATTTTGTGATAGAAGGTGGTATCTACCCGAATAACATTCATCAAGTGTCCAGTGGACACCCGTAGGAGAGTTTTGGGTAACTCTGATGTCCCTGTTGGGAAGTTTGGTTTCCATGTCATGCATCAGGAAGAGGAACCATTGAGAGCCTCCATTTCTCTTTCTTTACACATCCAATCCATTTTAATGTTTTTAACCAACAGTGGGAAATATAACTAAATAACCATGTTTGTTAGGAATATACTTAAGAATGAGTGTCTTCTGTGGATAAAGTGCATGTATGGACTTGGGGAGAAATATTTTTTCTTGTCACCCAAAAGCTTTATTTGCCATGTTCTGGCTAGAGGCGGTGTAGCAGATAAAAGCTTAAGGTGCTTGAGGGGCTAGTGCCAGGGTATATACAGGGTGAGAGCAAGGGTCTAAACACCAGGGCCAGAGCGCTTTCCACTGCACATGTTTTATGAGCCGTTCACTTTTATCCTGCAAAAGTGTACTCTGGTAAGTATTAAGCATGGAACTAGTCTCTGTTCATTAACTGCAGCTAAAATGATGCAGATGATACTGTTCCTGCCCTCAAGAGAAATGTAGTGGAAATGTATACGCTCTCTGTGAAAATATTAAAATGTAGATGCCCAAGTCTTCATATCTAACTCTGCTTGCATGGAAAGAATTTTAGATAGGCAGTCCCTGCAGATTTTTCGGTTTTAAAGTACGTAATGCTGAGTCAGCAATGGTAGGCTATTCAGTTTCTGAGCAAATATCTGGGACATCTGGAGCAAAGTTCTTTCATTTAGTGAAGTGTAGGAACTTGGAGATCTTAGAGTAAGATCTAACAGACATCTACATGTACCTCAGTACTCTGCAAGCTCATTTGCACGTCATTTTTTTGGTGCTGTGCTCCCGTGAAGGCGGGTTGTCTTACTTTCCAGGCAGAACTGTGACTCGGAAGTCCAAGAGGACTTGCCAGAGTGTGCAGCGCTGGGCCGTGTGTTGGATTCAGGATTTGGGTGCATGGGAACGTGGGAATGACCTGTTTGGGAATGCTGTAGTAGTCAGGACCATTTCCTGTAAGATGGTGGCTTTGATGTAAGAGATGATAGAGGAGATTAACTCTTAAGAAGGTTTGAAAATATGCTTTCATTACCATTCAGGATAGTTGAGTCTTAATTCTGAAGAGGAAAAAAAAACTTTGCCCAGAGGGCCTGTATTAGAGTGTTATTCAATATATTAGATATGTAATATATATCATATATACATCTTTGTATGTATGTTTTAAAAAAAGAATTATGCAGGCTTGATAGTCTATTACAATGTCTGGATTTTTTCTTTCTCCATTGAGTGAACTCAAAGTAGAGACACTGTATATTAGTCACTCCTGTATAGGATTAACATTAAAAATAAAAGATTGCTCCAAATCATCTCTTAATATTCTACCTAAGTATAACAATCTCTGTGATTGTGTTAATTTCTTATTTTTATGTTGTATATACTTACAGTGGAGGGAAAGACAGGAGAAATTGCATGGTGAGGTTTTACTACTAAAACCTAGACTTCTACGGCTCTCAAAATAAGTTTATGCTTACTCTTTTATGGTTGTTGGAGCCTTTGTAGATGAAATGCAATAAGTAATAATTGAAAATGTCTGTATTAGTGTCCAGTTTATTTCCCTGCTGGTGAAACAGAGAATTTGACTTTTTGCATGAAATTTTAGACTAATTTTTGAATATATTTTTGATGAGCAAAATAATTATAAAGTATTAGCCTTCCAATAATTGGATGAGGGGTGCATTTCGGAGAGTAGGAGGAAAAATACCAGTGGAATGGTATTATGCATCGGTCTTAAATTACATGAAAGCATATACAACACACAGAGTATTGTAGCATTTTGGAAGATTTGCAGCATGTCTAGACTCAGACCTGTATTTCTGGGCCCTCTAACTGCTTGTTTTTTTGGGGCAAGAGGTAAAAACATCTAGAAAGTATGCAGTGGTCATTTGGTTTAAATAACTTGCTGCTTTTCACCCGGTATAATTCCTCAACAAATAATGACACTCAATAAATAATGAAATCTGATATAAAGTCAATTTTATAAGGTTAAAGTATGAAAATTGTTTTAAATGTGT